TGATCTGTTAATATTGGGTGTTCTTTTTGACCTTGTAGAGCGGACAAAGCTGTCTTAGCATCCTCTGGGTTTCAAGCTGATGTAAAGGCTTTGCAAAAGCAATTGGCAGCAAGGCACTTGGTGAGATTTAATTCAAACAGTAATGATGGCTTAACTTAATATTTTGGGTTGGATGAAACCTGTTATGAGATGTATAATTTTGTGAATTAATTTTTTTACATGATGTGTTTGTTTAAGTCCTTTTTCAATCTATGAATTCAATTTTTATTTGGTGATCTTCTAATTGTCTTGTTATAACTGATGCTATATATATCTTCTTTTTTATGCTACTGCCTAAATACAGATTTATCAGCATCAGCACAATAAGCAGATGAGCTGCCCTGCAATGGCTCAACTGCTCTCCAACACACTCTACTACAAACGTTTCTTTCCTTATTATGCATTTAATGTTTTAGGTGGCCTCGACAATGAAGGTAATGTACATTTAACTCTCACTCTCACTTGCTAGTTAGAAGCCTCTCCTATTATGGATTAACATTTTGACTTTGAACCTTTAGGAAAGGGTTGTGTGTTTACATATGATGCTGTTGGTTCCTATGAACGGGTTGGGTACAGCTCCCAAGGTTCTGGTTCTACCCTCATCATACCTTTTCTGGATAATCAACTGAAGTCTCCCAGCCCTCTCCTATTGCCTGCCCAGGTCTGTCCCGAATATTGATATATTGTTGACACTTATGCTTCAAAACATTTATTCTTTGCATTTGTGCTAAACAAGCACATGATTGTTGCAGGATGCTGTAACTCCTCTTTCGGAATCTGAAGCAGTTGATTTGGTCAAAACTTGTTTTGCATCAGCAACTGAGAGAGATATATACACCGTAAGCCTTTTTACTCTATATTTTCTCTCCTGTTTGATTAAACTTATATAGCCATCACAGCGTTCTTGAACTTGAACATTGATGGATTGCTTTATATATCATATTATGCTCTTGTTCTTTCTTATGTTCATTTCCCACGCTTGGAAAATTGCTAATAGATCCTTGTAAACGATGTTCAACAAATTCTCTTGCATGGGTAGTTGTGTGGTGTGTTTAAACTAAGAGAATTTGGAGCTCTTTCTTCAGTTATCCACTTAAGGTGCATAGAAACAGATAATAGAAATGCTTCCCTGTCCTCCAGGCTTGACTTTCTTTCAATCGCATATGTGCTACTTTCAGAAGAGTTACCATCAATAATTAACTTTTTAGCTTCCTAGCACTTGGACCGGGAATGGGTCACCTTTCTAGCCTTGATTATGTCTTCCTAATGATGCCATGATACACGTAACTCAGATGAAAAACATACAAAAACAACTGATTATATGTTTTCTTGACTTTAGTACTTTTTTTGGCCGGATAAGTAGTATCTTTCAACTAGGTGTAATTCAAGCCTTTGCTGCATTTTCTTTTGTACGACTTCTTTACATGTAAGTTCAATTATGACCCTTTTCATTGGCATGATTTTTTAACAGGGAGACAGGCTCGAAATTGTTATCCTAAATGCTGATGGTATTCGTCGTGAATTCATGGAGCTTAGGAAAGATTGATTGGTCACCATCCAATACAATGTTGCTCTTACTACAGCAGAATACTGGAATTGCATGGCGATGTTTACTTTTTCGTGCCAGTACCGTTGTGTCTTTGTGGGTTTTGCTTTTCAATTAAACAAATCTGAACTGCATTGTCCTTTAAAATGGATTGGTAGAAGTGTTGGTTCCTGATGAGATGAGCATAAAACAAGCTAAAATCATGAATATTATTTATAAGCTTGAGATTTGTACTAAGCCATTATGACAATTTTTCGTGGGTCAGATAAATTCCTCCGGAGACAACATTGGTACAGTCTAGTATTTTCAGATGCAGAGCCAGAGGCATATCTTTCCACCACCTTCCACAAGCTTTACCCGCAACTTCGTTTTCCGCAGTTAATTTCTATCTGTCTCTAAGATCAGCACAAACCAACACGGCCTTTCCCAAATCATGTAAAGATGATATTTTTATAAAGAAAGAGAACCATAGAGAAAGTGCAAAATTTCCATAGAATTTTTCTAGTCCTTAAAATTTCACTAATATCTGACCATGTAACACAAACTTTCCTCTTTGTACGCTTGAAACTTGGCTGCAATAAGTTCCAGATTCTACCACGCTTCAGCAGGAAGGGCTGCCTACATCCACTCGGTAACCTGTTAAGACTACACCTGCAAGGAGCCTAGTCAACACAACATTAACCCAAAAATTTCTTCATGAAGACGCCACTGAAGGAGATGCCCAAAACTTCACTTTCTTGTCAACACCAGCAGTGGCTAGAACCACCACTTGCTCATTTCCTACGATACAACTTGATAAGGTTATATGACATCAAAGAAATATAAGCAACAGTTCTAGATAAATGCATGCCACATACCACAAAGATTAATGGTTTTACCTGTTGGTAAAGCCTTGGGTGCCCATGCGATCCAAGTGATATCACCTGCAAGACAAGACTTGGGTAAACACAACATTCACAACACAAAGCTATTGTTATGGTCATAAATATCTGAAAGCATAGTTTTGCCCATGGTTGGCAACATAACTTGTTCAAACACCACCTTGACATACAAAATTGTGGCAGAGAAAGGAAAGCATTATGAGTCATTATATAAATGGTCAGATGGAAATTTTATGTGAGACAATTCACCTTAGCCCATAATCATGCAAAAAGTCAATAACAAGGCATAATTGTTAATCTTGAAATGCTAATTTAAACTCACTTTTGAACATTAGTAAACAAATTTGCACACCCAAAACCTTTCTGAATATATAAGGTTATGTTCCTTTTCAACTTAGATGTGTGGTAGAACATGGTTGCATCAAAAAAAAAAAAAAAAGGAAAAAGAAAAAAGGTTCGTTGCTTATTACCATCATGGGCCTTTTCAGCTGTATCCAAAACCTTCCCTGTTTCCATGCATAGCCACTGCAATGTTGAACCACAGGTTGCTGCCAGTATCTTTCCATCAGGTGATAAAGCAAGGCGATCATAGTGCAAAGCAGTGCCACTTGAATCACGGAGTGGTATTGGGAACACCTTCAAAGTTTTTGGATCCTCATCAAGATGATATCGAACTTCAAGAGAGCATTTATAAGGGTCAGCCAAACAGAAGTAATAAGACTGACAACTGACAAAAAAAATCGGTAGAAATCAAAGATTTCAATGATTAACAATTTCTTTCAGATCCACAGGTCTAGAGTTCAATCCTTAGTCTCTATACACCAAAAAAATAAAATAAAAACAATTTCATTCAGATTAGAAAACATTCTTAGAATTCCATTCTCATATTTATGAGGGTTATGTGCAAAAAGGTTAACAAAACAGAAGCTTGCTCACACACCATCTCATTTGACATAGAGAGAAGGTGAGAGATGATCTCAAGTAAAAGATGATAAGAAGCAGAGGATTTATTCAACTGACAGAGGTGATCTGTCCTGAGCTCAGGATATGGACTATAAAAATTGTCTGCAGGCCGGCATGCATATCTTACATTATCAGTTAGCTTGAAAGCATGTGTGCGTGTGTGTGTGAGCTTGTGCATGCATGCTTGAATTATTAATGTTAATCTCACAACAAAATAAAGGGGGCAGGGTATTTGAAAAAACAAGTCAAGAGTCAGAAATCACACAAACCATTGATGTTCCAAATTCTTATTGAACCATCCTTCGATGCTGTAATGATATGCTCTGAATTTGTGGAAAAGCATAACCAAGTTACTGCACTCTGAACATTTAAGGAAAAAGTGAAAAAGAGACATAAGAAGCAAACAACTCCTTATGGCGATAAGCTATTCATAAAAGAAACTAGTTAAAAAGGTAACATAGAGCAAAAGATCTAGCAGATGATAAAAGTGGGAATAAGTTAAAAATCATTTAACTATTTTCTAGAAAAGGAAACATCATTTCAAAAAGCAGGGATACCATTTTTTTTTTTTTTTTAAAGAAAAGAAGGAACAGAGAAGCAGAAATCAAGAAAAATGGAAACCAGAAAAGACAGTAAACATTAAGGATTAAGCTTTAGAACTACACTGCAGAAATCACATACCTTGTGCCCTTTCAGCTGCATGACATTCATGACCTCCTTGACGGAACCATCCTTTGAATACATAATCTCCCATACCTGACACAATGTTCATTCAAGACTTAAAAAACTCCAATAACAAGCAACAACAAGATTCTAGAAATCACCATCTCAATAATAGATTACAAGGTATTTTAAGAGTACTACCTTCACATCTGCGGTAAAAGCTGCAGCTGCAAGAAAACGTCCATTCGGTGATATAGTAGCCATGGTATTTTTCAACTGATTTGTGTCAACAGTCCCCAAAATTTTCCCAGTTTTACCATGCCAAACTATGATATCAGTCCCTAAGAAGTAAACAAAAGGTTAGAAGTACAAACAGGTACAAGCAGTTTCTCCACAAAATTAAAGCAAGAAATAAATCAATATAACAAATTCAAGAGAATAAGTTCTCTGTCGAAGACTTTAACAGATTAATGTTCAAAAATAATAGTGGCCCATGCAATTGATTTGATGCAACATTTACAATATTCTGGTTGGTTCATGAGTAGGGACTGAAGACTACCGTTACAGGGCAGAGAAAGTCAAACCTTGATCAAATAAGAATACTATTAGACATCCTTTAATGCATTAGGCCATTGCTGATCATTCATGCCTAAGAAGGCTCTACCTCTGACCCCACAAAAATTCTAAAACCATAGCGCTCTTTCTATATGTCTTTTTGCAGTCTTATCACTTAGATAATTGCCCTAACAAAGGCACCCCTCTATCAAAATCATGGTCATAAAGCAGTCAGTATGCAAAAAGTTCTAATAATGTTAGCAAAACACTTCGCAATTTTCTTTATAACATGCTAAAAATAATTGGTTAATTGTATCATTAAGATCTAATATTGAAATTTTTGTTAAATAATACAAGATGCACACACAATCCAATGCACCAGACAATGTGGGGAATAACACAAACCTTCTGAACATGAGGCAATAATTGAACTCCCATCTCCACTGCCATAACTTGCAGTTGCTCCAGCTAGGGTCAAAATTGCTCTTTTTTCGTGGGCTTTGTGGTGTTCCCATTTAATTTCTGGGAGTGGAAGCTTTGATTGCTGTTTATTTTCATTAGAAGCTTTTACTTTCTCTTCTCCGTACATGTACAAGGAACAACCCAACAGAGTCTGAGAAGCCACAACTACAGAAGATGCATCAGCAGAAAAAGCAACAGCTGTTGGATGACCTCCAGCAGGCAAATTAATTCTCAAAAACCTGAAAGAAAACGTTATTAGAGAGAAAGGAAAATCTTCATGCAGAATTGGTATTCCTAATCTGGCAAAAGGATTTCCAGTTCATACTTGAAACTTTTACTTGAAGCATCATCCAATTTAAAAACCCTGACCACTCCATCAGCACAGGCTGTCCACAGAAATGCAAAAGTCGAAATTAAAAGAAGTCTTGGACCACGCATTAATCACAAGGCAATGAATTTTCTAGAATTGAAAATGCCAATGGTCTAAAGCAGAACACATATTTATGCAGTTAAGAGAAATGATAGAGGAACGGAAGCACATTACCTGTTGCCAAACTTTGTCCATCAGCGGAGAAACATAACCCCGTAACTGAATCCCCATGGCCTTTGAGAGTATTCAAATCTAAAGGATGATGACGCTTGTTTTGTTCCTGCATTTCACAATAAAAATGATCCATAAATCACAAATATCAGTGTCATCTGAACCCTATCTAAGCCCTATTGATCTCCATTCAAAATCAGAAATCGGTTATTATATTTTCAATTTGCATGCTGCAAATTTGCACAGAAGAACTAATTCAGCTAAGTTCAGAGGCCAGTTAACCAGTAAATTTTATTTATCTAATCAAAAGCTAAAAAAAGAAAAAGAAAAAAAAGTAGCATTAAAAAGAGATTCCAAACATTCTTTTGTTCTCCTTCAAATTTTCTACGCTACCAAACGGAGGATTACGATCGGAAACCTTGTCAGAGCCGTGAGAGTGAGCTTTGGAGTGAGATTTTCTGGACACCGGCTGAGGCGTCTTGGAAGGCTTCTTCGGATCGGACGGTTGGAGCTCCGATTTGGCAATAGACTGGACTTCAGATCTCCGCTTGAGAAAGTAGGTTTTGAAGAAAAGGAGAGCTATCACGGCTCCGAGAAGAAGCGAGAGCACCGCAATCGAAACTACTGGATCCATCTTCAAATGGCGACGCCGGAGAGGATCGAGTAAGTTTCCCCTTGGTCACTGAATTGCAGAAAATTGTATTGTCGGTGATGGACTGAGAGTGATGAAGCGTTGAAACTCGGAAATGGAAATGGAAATGGCAAGGGGCTTTTAGAAGAGGGATGAGTATGATGAATCAGGGAGAGGGCTGAGGTGGCGTAGAAGCAAGCGCAGCATGGAGTAGAGTGGATCGCTACGTGCAAGGACCAAACAATTTTTTAATTTTTTTTCGTAATGTAAATGAAAAAAAGTTTTTTAATGTAAGGTTAAATGCTAAATTTAGTACCTCAATTTTATGGTTTTGTATTTTTTTAGTTTTTTAACTTTGTTTTACATTTTTTTGATCTTTCAACTTTAAATACTGTATAATTTTGGTTCTTCCGTCAGTTATTTATGACATGGTAGTTAAAAATTTTCACAATGGCATTTTTTTTTAAATTTTTTATGACATGATAATAACACATCATATCCTATAAATAAAAATGCCAAATTAAATTAGTATTTATATTTTTAATAAAAAACTATAAAATTACCTTAATACCCTTGTCTCCTTCTTTTGATCCATTTTCGTCTCCTCTTTCAATCCTTCTTCTTCCTTTCTTTCCTCTCTATGTGAACCCAGCAATGTTGGGTTTGAGGGAACCCAATGAATCTGAGTTCCGTCGAACCCAATTATTGGGTTCCCTCTAACCCAGCTGATCTAGGTTTGATGGAACCCATCGAAGAACCCAACTTCAGGGTGCCTTCAAACCTAGTAGATTGGGTTACTAGGTTACTGGGTTCCTCAAACCTAGTGGATTGGGTTCGATGAAACCTAGCAAGCAGTCAATGGAACCCAGCAGATGTAAGTTCTTCTTTGGCTTTCTATTCTTAATTCTTGATCTGCCTATTGCACCTATTCTTTATAGGTTTTTTCAAATTTTGGAGTTGATTTGCTGGAATTTGATTGCATTTGTGTTGGAATTTGATTAGGTTTGATTGAGATTATTTATTATCAAGTGAATGAGAAATTAGTTTGATTTGATGAGAGTTGTTAGGTTTGATGAAACCTATCAAGTGGGTTTTGCTAAAGGTTAAATGTTAAATTTGGTCCCTCAACTTTAGTGAGTTGCACATTTTTTTGTCCTTCAACAATTTTTTGCACTTTTTTGATCCTTCAACTCTAAGAAATGCACAACGTTTGTCCTTCTGTCAATTTCGGCCGTTAACTCAGCCATGTGGCATTTTTTTATTATTTTTTTGAAGACATGGCAAGAACAACATAAAAATGTGTTGAACTAGACTCTTTTTTTATGACATGTCATCTTCTTCCTGCACCAACACTGTCTCACGTTGCTTGTAAACCACCAATAAAGATATGTGAACCCTAGAATGGTCTCTCATCTTCACTCTCTGCAAAATCAATCTAACTCAAGTTGGGTTGCACTAGCAGTAAAGTCCTCACAAAATAATATGTCTATGAACCCTATGAACCCTAGAATGCTTCAAAGGAGAATTTGAAATTCTCTACCATTGAACCCAGCTACTGGGTTTCATTGAAGCCTCAAACCTAACATAACAGATGTTATCAAATCAAACTAACCCTTCAATAAACAATATCAATCAAACTCTAATCAAATTTCAACAAAAATACAATCAAACTCTAATTAAATTCTAACAAAAATCAATCAAATTGTAAATCAACAATGGAAATCGCGTCGAAACAGCAAGGCTGGGTTTCGACGAACCCAGCAAGGCTGGGTTCATCGGAACCCAGGAGATCTGGGTTTCAATCGAACCCAGCTTTGCTGGGTTCCCCATGATGGATCAAGTGCAGTCACATTGGAGCCAATCTGAGCATCCCTTGAGCCAACACAAATCAACCCAAAATCAACGAATCTATCAAAGAACCCATAATAGCACAAACAAGAACAGAAGCAAAATCAACATCTGGAAAGAAAGTACCCGTGACCCAAGAGACCCACATTGAAGTTGGTGAGGAAATGGCAAGCGCAATCTGCTTCAAAAACATACCGGTGACATTCCTCTTGAGCTTGGAGTTATCCATTGGCAAGTCATTGCTGAGCAAGAAAATGGGTAGGAGCAAGAAAATGGGTAGGAGCACGCAAAGCCTAAAGCCCTCCATTGGCTACTTTCCCTCTTTACCAAATGTTGGATGTTTCTATGTTGGGTTCTGATGAACCCAGCTTTCCACCAAACCAGGGTAGGAAAGAAAGAAAGAGAAAGAAAGAAGGGGAAGAAGAGGGATTGGGAGGGTGAGAAAGGCTGGGTTTTGCCTGCTGGGTTCATCTTTCCATCGACCCAGGGTAGGAAAGAAGGGGAGGAAGAGGGACTGGGAGGGTGAGGGTAAAAAAGTAATTGTATTTGTTTTTAATTAAAATAGAAAATATTAATCTATGTGGCATTTTTATAATATAACTATAATATATATTATTGCCACATCATCAAAAAAATTAAAAGATAATGCCACATGAAATTATTTAACTGCCATGTCATACTTAACTGACGGAGGGATCAAAATTGTGCAAGTTTTAGAGTTGAGAGATCAAAAAAGTACAAAAAATTATTAAGGGACCAAAAATGTGCAACTCACTAAAGTTGAGGGACTAAATTTAACATTTAACCTTTGCTAAACCCAATAACCAGGTTCAACAAAACCTAAATTATGTTGGGTTTAACTGTAACTGGAGTCAAATAGGAAGAAAGAGAGGAAGAAGATGGATTCGAAGAGGAAGATTGGGTATTGAGATAATTCTATTGTTTTTATTTCATTTCATTAAAAATATGAATATTTATGTGATTTGGCATTTTTTTATCCATGTAATAAACTTATAATATATTATATTACCAAGTCATTAAAAGAAATTAAAAAAAATGCTATTTTGAAATTGTTTAACGGCCACGTAAGAGATAATTGATAGAAGGACCAAAATTATGTAGTTTTTAGAGTTAAAAGATAAAAAAAATGTAAAAAAATATTGAGGGACTAAAAGGTGCAAAATTTAAAGTTGAGAAACTACAATTAGCATTTAACCTTAATGTAAACATTATCAGAACCACTATACTAGCAGTACTGGGAGGACAGGGAATAAGCAGCAAAAACCTTGCTCATGTCATGGTTTAAATATTTTTCTAAAAATAATTGTAATATATTTTTAAAAATTTCTCTTTTTAAAAAATTATATTATCCGAACTATTAATGCTAGTGCAAGCTAATAATAAATTTGATTTGAAGAATAAAGAGGGAGTAATTTTTGAACAAATATACCATAAAATATTAAGAATGCATGTTTAAATTATAGGTGATACGATGATACAAGTTCTTTCTTTTTAGAAAAACAACTGGTGAAAGTTGTGTTTGTATATAATCAGTAGTTGTTTCCTCAAAAATCCTCTAGTGGCCTCGCACGTGTGAAATTTGAATGCGGGCATACTACTTACTTTGCTGAAAGTAAGAAAAGAAGACTTTCCCAACGACCCTCTCCTTCCTACGGTCGACCTCTTTGCAGATGGCAGGAAGAACATTGGATTAAAATGAAATTTGCGCCTTCAGACGATTTGCAAAAGGGAGGGATGCCTTCCTACATAATGGATTACAAAATCTACTTTAGACAACTCCAAGGACTTAAACACTATCGTGACTTAAAATTATCAAATCATAATTATTTTAAATTACCTGCAATTTAAAATAAACTCTTCCAAGCCTTTTTGATGTTAGCTCGTTAACCGGATTGCCCTATACTAAAGAAGAGATTTCAGCATTGTTAACCTTGCCTCCAAGTGTTGAGTACAATGTAGAGTTGAAGCCCTCTTATCCAGCCTTTGTGAGGTCTGCCTATGATAAAAGTAAACATATTATTTCATTTCTGCTTACTTTGATTTGCAAATATATAGTCTGCTCCGCTGGTAAAGGTCCCACTAAAGAATTTATTCCTTTAGATGCTGCTTTAACATATGATAGACAAATGGCTCTGGGTCCTTTTTTGCTTGCTCATTTGTATAGGAGTTACCAATATATCACGGCTCACCCCTTAGTCATTAGTGGTGGACCGCTTTGGGTTTTGCAGTTGTGGTTGTATTCTTATTTTCCAGCCCTAGCTCCTGTCTCATCCTTGTTGAGCCGTAATATCCTGGCAACTACTATACAAATGAACAAGCAAAAAAGGACCAGAGCCATTTGTCTACCATAAGCTAAAGCAGCAGCTAAAACAGCAGCTAAAGGAATAAACTCTTTAGTGGATCTTTACCAGCAGAGCAGACTATATATTTGCAAATCAAAATAAGCAAAAATGAAATATGCTCATCAACACTGACAGGCTTACTTTTATCATAGACAGACCTCACAAAGGCTGGATAAAAAGGCTTCAACTCTACATTGTACTCAACACCTGGAGGCAAGGTTAACAATGCTGAAATTTCTTCTCCAGTACAGGGCAATCCGGTTAATGAGCTAACATAAAAAAGACTCACAGACATGGCTCCACAGGGAAAATGAAAACAATTGAAAGAGCTAGACCAAAATAACAAAGCCGCACCCAGGACCGGTTTGTCCATGATGAATCTGCATTTGGTGAGTTGTATAAATTCAAACATGCCTGCATCTCTCCAAATTTAACCAACAGCAGGTTCCAGACGGTTTATCCAGTCAGTCCATTCTGATTTCCGCCAAGACGGCCAAGCTCCAAAAGAACCAACCCATTTACTCCAATCAGGTTTTACTTGAAAGGGGAGAAGATGTTCTTTGGGCTATGGGTAAATGGAGGCAAGAGAGGCCGGTGGATGAGACACAAAATAAGGATCCAAAATCTGAGATTTTTTATGAGGTATGAAATTTTGATTTGAATGGCATGGTTTTTGTTGCTGGAGTACCCGGTCCACATCATTTTGAAGATTTTGGTTTTGAAAGAGTTTAACCAAATCTGGTGGGGGTGATTTTAAGCAATGAGTGGCCTTTAAACTGGCCATGGAAACAGATCCGGTTGGCATGGATTGTTCTTCTCGGTCATGAGCCATGGAGATAATTTTGGCAAGGGAAGGCTGCTCGATACTGGGTCCACCGAACACAAGCCAAGCCAGGCAGATCTGCACA